CCCTCCAGTGGCCGCTCTGGGAATGGCGGCACCAATTAACGAGAAATAAAGTGGGAATTTTTTGGGGGAAATTTGGGAATTTTTGGGGAATTTTTGGGGGAATTTGGGGAATTTTGGAAATTCTGGAAATTTGGGAATTCTAGGAATTCGAGGAATGTGGGAATTCTGGACTCACTGTCGCCCTCCAGTGGCCGCTCTGGGGATGGCGGCACCGATTAACGGGAAATAAAGCGGGAATTTTTTTGGGAATTTTTTGGGAATTTTTTGGGGAATTTTTTTGGGGAATTTGGGGAATTTGGGGAATTTTGGGAATTCTGGAAATTTGGGAATTCTAGGAATTCTGGGAATGTGGGAATTCTGGACTCACTGTCGCCCTCCAGTGGCCGCTCTGGGGATGGCGGCACCGATTAATGAGAAATAAAGCGGGAATTTTTTGGGGGAAATTTGGGAATTTTTGGGGGAATTTGGGGAATTTTTGGGGGAATTTGGGGAATTTTGGGAATTCTGGAAATTTGGGAATTCTAGGAATTCGGGGAATGTGGGCATTCTGGACTCACTGTCGCCCTCCAGTGGCCGCTCTGGGAATGGCGGCACCGATTAACGGGAAATAAAGCGGGAATTTTTTTGGGGGAAATTTGGGAATTTTTGGGGAATTTTTGGGGGAATTTGAGGAATTTGGGGAATTTTGGGGGGAATTTGGGGAATTTTGGAAATTCTGGAATTTTGGGAATTCTGGAAATTTGGGGATTCTAGGAATTCGGGGAATGTGGGAATTCTGGACTCACTGTCGCCCTCCAGTGGCCGCTCTGGGAATGGCGGCACCGATTAACGGGAAATAAAGCGGGAATTTTTTGGGGAATTTTTTGGGAATTTTTTGGGGAATTTTGGGAATTCCGGACTCACTGTGGGCCTCCACCAGCTCCAGCTGCATGGCGTAGGGCACCAGGGGCTCCGGCAGCTCCGAGAAGAAACTTTTCATGGCTCCGGCCACGGCGTTGACGGTGAAATCCTTCTCAGCCAGGTCCAGGCCGTGGTCTGGGGGAAATCCAAAAAAAATTTCGGGATTTTTGGGGGTAGGAAAAGTGGGAATCGCGTCCTGACATTCCCAGAAAAAAATCGGGGTGAAAAAACGGGAATTTCGGCCAAAAAAACGGAGTTTTTGTGAGAAAAATGTGAATTTTTTTCCCTAAAAATCTGAATTTTTGACACAAAAATCCCTGGGATTCTGTGGGATTTTGGGGCAGGAAAAGTGGGAATCTCATCCCAAAATTCCTTGGATTGGGGAAAATTCCCAGAAAAACATGGGGTGAAAAAACGAGAATTTTGGCCAAAAAAACGGAGTTTTTACGCAAAAATTCGGATTTTTTTCGCTAAAATTCCGATTTTTTGTGCCAAAATCCAGAATTTTTGACCCAAAAATTTCTGGAATTCTCTGGGATTATGGGATAGGAAAAGTGGGAATCACATCCCAACATTCCCTGGGATTGGGGAAAATTCCCAGAAAAAATTGGGGTGAAAAGATGGGAATTTTGGCAAAAAATCCAGAAGTTTTGCGACAAAATTTGGAAGTTTTGCGACAAAATTTGGAATTTTTGCACCAAAATTCGGAATTTTTGCCCCAAAAATCCCTGGAATTCTCTGGGATTTGGGGCAGGAAAAGTGGGAATCACATCCCAACATTCCCAGAAAAAAATTGGGGTGAAAAAATGGGAATTTTGGCAAAAAAATCTGGAATTTTTGTGACAAAATTTGGAATTTTTGAGCCAAAATTTGGAATTTTTTTCCTTTTTTTGTAGTTCTTGTGGATTTTTGGTGAATTTTTGGGATTTTTTTTTAAATTTTTGATTAATTTTTTTTAAAGTATTTTTATTTTTTTTTTATTTTGTAGAATCTTTTGTGATTTTTTGGCATTTTTTCAGGTTTTTTGGGGGATTTTTTTGTGATTTAATTTTTTTTTAATTTTTAAAATTTTTTTGCATTTTTTTGATTATTTTTGGGGGTTTTTTTGTGATTTTTTTCGTGACTCTTTGGTGGTTTTTTTTCATGAATTTTTTGGTGATTTTTTTCGTGAACCCTTTGGTGATTTTTGTAGATTTTTTGAACAATTTTTTGTGGTTTTTTTGTGAATTTTTTGAATTTTTAATGACTTCTAAATATTTTTTTTTTGTGATTTTTTATGATTTTTCTTTAGTGTTTTTTTTGTGATTTTTTTGTGATTTTTGGGATTATTTGGGGATTTTTTCAGGGATTTTTATTTATTTTTAATTTTTAAAAATGTTTAAATTTTTTTGGGTGCATTTTGGTGATTTTTGGGGTGTTTTTGGGGCTCACCCTGGTCGAACTGGCGCCGCAGGGATTTTTTCTGATTTTTTTTCAGATTTTTGGGGGTTTTTGGTGGGTTTTTTCGTGAATTTTTTGGTGATTTTGGTGGAATTTTTTTTTTGCGCTTTTTTTGTGAATTTTTTTAATTTTTAATGACTTTTAATTTTTTTTTTTTTTTTTTTTTTTTATTTTTGGGATTTTTTTGGGATTTTTTCAGGGATTTTTATTTATTTTTAATTTTTATAAATGTTTAAATTTTTTTGGGTGTATTTTGGTGATTTTTGGGGTGTTTTTGGGTGTTTTTGGGGCTCACCCTGGTCGAACTGGCGCTGCAGACTCTCCATCTCCGACTTGTTGCCGCTGACGCGATAAATCCCCTCCGTGCTCAGCCCTGAAACACAAAAAAAAGGTGAAAAATCCCAATTTTGGCTTTTTTCCACCCATTTCTGCCG